TGGAGAGGCTATCCTTGAGTTGAGGAACCTAACACGGGAGTTTGATGATCAGCCAGAAGCAGCATCAAAAGACAACAATATACATCTATGGGATGTCAGTGGACCTAGAGAACCTGCGCTTTTGAGTGACGACTTCGTTCGAGACTTGGATTTCAGCCCTGATGGCCGACGAATAGCTACGGTTTCTAGCGACGGTCTTCATATTTGGAACAGCGGCACTGGCAAAGTGTTGATTTCATCAAATTTCGACGAAGAGTTTGCTGAATCTGTTCGTTTTTCTCCAAACGGCGAATTGCTGGCAAATGTCAAGGCTCTTGCACCTAGGGCATATGTCTGGAACGCTTCAACTGGCGCACTTGTTTCAAACATAAGAGTAATAGACACCTCAGGTTCCAGCAAAGATTCTGACAATCCACTAATGCAAGTAAGATTAGGATTTAGCCCCGATAGCACTTATCTGTTTAGTCATGTAGAGACCCTTGGCGATGAAAGGTCAGAAACGCGGAGCGCTAGCGTATCGACTGGGGAAATAGTTGCAACCCTTGATCGGGATTGGTATCCAGATGAGAAGTTCTCCTGCTTTGATGAAGATTCTTTGTTTGTATTCAAGATGTCTGATTCGAAGTCAGGATCAGATCTTTACTCCTGGAAATTTCTAGAAGGCTCAAAGAACAAGTTACTGTCGTATGGTAGCAAGATGAGAAGCTTCACATGCAGTGAGGGGGCGAAGGTCATTGCTACTGTTCTAGCCGATGAAACAGTACGGATTTGGTCTAGACAATCGAACTCACGTATCTTCAGGTATCGATCCTCAGTGCGACTGGCAACACTCGATCAGACTGGATCCTTTCTTGCTACTGCTTCGAGCGAAAATGAAATCCACGTTTGGTCGCTTGTCGACGGCGAAAAGACGGGTTTAATGTCGGGCCACAAGGAAGAGATTGAAGAATTGATATTTGGTCCCGGTGGGAAGTTGCTACTTTCAGTTTCCAACGATAGAGTTCGGCTATGGGAACAGAGAGACGACGGATATTTTTTATTGAACGAGTTTCAACAGTGGGGCTTAGAAGGAATAACAGCGGCTAAGCTCGATAGAAGTGGGACAAAATTAGCAATCATTGACTCGGATTCCTTTCCAAAAGTTTGGCCTGTCATCGGATCTGTGGAAGAGCTGGTGAGGCAAGCGCGATCAAGTCGCCCGATCAGAATCTCTTCCGGCGAAGGGTAAATCGTTCGAAAGCTTACGGACTCTTAGAATTTGGCTCTTTACCATCTTGCGTGGGGCTGAGCCGCTGAATCCAGTAATTTTTGCCTATGCAACACCAAGCTATATGAATTCGTCCTGGGCCTGGAATCGCCCTGGGAAATTACAGACGTCCAACTGAAGACAGCGGAGGAAACCATCCTGGCGGAGGTGGCGGCCTAGTGTAGACGCCTGCCTTGCTCGATCTGCAACAAGCTCGGCCCAGTATGCGACACCTCGCTCCGCCAGTGGCGGCATCTAGATACCTGCCAGTTCCAGGCAATTCTCAGTGCCGATGTTTCTCGAGTGAAATGCTCCGAGCACGGAGTCAAGCCTCTCCAGTCTAGGTACCCTGGGCCGTCCGCAAGTCGAAGTTCACCGCTCTGTTCGAATCTCGGTTAATTGCTTGGCTACAGGAAACGAGCATCAGCGCAGTGACTAACCTATTCGGATTGAGCTGGAGCTCGGTCGCCGGCATCCAGAAATTGGCGGTTCGTCGGGGTCTGAAACGAAGAAGCTTCGAGCAGGGCCGTGTGCTCCCCAAGCGACTCGGGAAGGAGAAATCGTACCGTCCAACACCTC